TCCCCCCAAAAATCGTGGTCAAGTAGTTAAAAATCAACTAAAACCACCTTATTTTGCGAACTAGCGCCCCTCAACTGATCATCGCGGCACACTATCTCCTACTTCAGCTTCGCGTCCCCCACCCCATCAGACCCCCATTTCAAGACATCTAAACCACCCCACATTTTTGGGTTTCAAAGGTGGTCTCAAATCGGCGGAAGACTTTTTTAATTCTTACGGACACTTTGATTTTTAAAAAGTAGATTATTTTGTGGATGCCATTTTTCAAAAGTCTACAAGGAGCCAACCATATCACAAGAATTGAAGCTTGCAGACAGCAATTTATAACTTACCTATTGCCCATTCACACAAGTAAATGCCACTTTGTGCATCAAATGCAGACCACGTGACCACCAAATTTTGATCAGTTTGGTAATCAATATCATCCTCCTCTGCACCATCATGGACAAAGTCCACAACTGGTTCTGTCAAGTCTATCGTAAGGGGCGCACTTATAACTCGAGTAGCTAGACCAGCTGCGTTCGTACTGACTACAGTCACGTATACTTGGACACCGTTTTGGAGTATGACCTCCGTATTTAATCCTTCTCTTTTTGTCCCAACCGATTTGAATCCTTGCACCTGAGTCCCGCCTGGAACAGTACCTAGGGATCCATGTGAATGTAAGTCATAAATAATACCACATATCATGCCAGTTATAACAAAACCAACAATGCACATTTAGGCCCTTGTGTCTGACGTTTTATACAGAAAAAACAATAAGGTGATGATAATTAAAATAAACATTTATTTTCTTCATAATCGAAAAAAGTACAATATAAACAATTTAATGGATGAGAATTAAAATAGTTGAAGAGGGCATAGCCAACAAAAAGCAAGTGCTTGTGTGAGGTACGCCCGATAACAAGTAAAAATTCAACCAATTATTATTTATACTACTAATAATAACTATGATATTAAAAATAAAGAAAAGAAAAAGAAAAAAATAAGAAAAACAATAAAAATAAAAGGAACAAAATTACAGCGAAAACTGAAAGATAAAACAGGTGACAGAAGATAAAAAAGGGTTACAAAAAGAAAAGGACAAAAAAGAAAAATGAACGACTAAACTGATCGTCTACAGTAGATTCTAAAGATTTAAGGAAAAGCTTTTCTTCAATTCACAGTTTCTGATATGGTCAGTTAAGTTATTTCGTAGTTTGGGTCGGCTAAATCTAATATCATGTTGAAAAGAAATATTTTTATGCAGGGGAATATTCAATCTGAGTGCAGATCTAGTCTAGACCCCGGCCCCCCTTTTGAGAGGTAAAAAAGGGAAAAAATAGAAAAAGAAAAAACGATAGCCAAGAACGCCTCAAATGTTTTTTTCGGGCGTCTAAAACACAGAAATTTCGTGGGGGCATGCCCCCGGACCTCCTATTTATGAAGTTTGGATATAAGAATTGAATGGTTAATGATGTCAAAAGCCTTCGAGAGATCAATGAAAGTAACAACGGCAAATTCGTTGCTCTCGAAAGCATAGCCACAATGTTGTTTGTCAGTTGCCAAAGGGCCATTCAAGTATCATATCACTTTCGGAAACCGTATTGATCATTGGAGAGAATTTTGTGTTTTTAAATGAATAGGTACGTCCTGTCATAGAAAATACGTTCAAAGGTTTTAGCAAAGATAGAAAGTATGGAAATAGGACGATAGTTATTAATGTCTGTTTTGTCTCCAGATTTAAAAATAGGTGTGATTTTGGCAAGTTTTAATTGATCAGGGAATACTCCTTTGGAAATAGACAGATTAAAAATATAGCATAAGGAGGGGTCAGTTATAAGGACACAAATTTGTTTGACTACATTGGTACTAAAGTCGTCAATACCAGGGGCTTTGTTGTTTTTAAAAGAATAAATAATTGAAAATCTCAGATTCAACAACTGGGGTAATATATAATGAGTGAGGAACAGGACCAGTACTCTTTAAACTTGGTTTGTGTTTAGGGTATCTGGATAGCTAAAAAGGAGCCAATTGTTACAAAGAATTGATTAAATGAGTTGGATATTAAGGTCAGTGAATAAATGCCCTTCATAATTGATATTTATGTCAGACTGGGTATTCTTGGGTTTTTTGAGTAAGGTGTTAATGATTTTCCAAGTACCTTTGATATCATTTGTAAGTTGAGAAAAAGTATTCTTAAAGTAATTAGCCTTAACCTTCAGAAGTATTCTATTAAGTTTATGGCGATATAGAATATATTTTTATTCTTATCAATGGGTTGTGCAAATACTTAGCATAAAGTTTGTGTTTCATAGATTTTAATAGGCCGTCACTCATCCAGGACTCATAGTTAAAAATAATCAAACATGTTGGTAATGCCTCTATAATAATAATAATAATAATAATAATAATAATAATAATAATAATAATAATAATAATAATAATAATAATAATAATATCCAAAGTGTTAGAGTGAGCAATTCATAATCTAGAAGTACTACCAGCACAACCACTGCCACCACAATCTTCACCACTGCCAGAAGTATACCTAACCAATGCTAATACCACACCGCCACCACTAGCAGTGACAACGATGATAATTATAATAATGACGCTGATGGAGACGATGATGTAGGCGATGATGATTATAACACCGATGATGATGGCAACCATGAAAATAAAGAAGATCATGATAATTTAATTTCAAAATAACAATAAAGATAAAGACAACAATAGATACAGTAAACATTCAAAATTACAAGAACAATAGTAATAACAAACAACAGGAATCAACAAAGACAATAAAACGTGGATGGAAAAACGTTGTTGGACTAAATAATGTAAAGTTGCTGCTTATTGTATTTCATGGTAAAACATGCAAGCAAAGCAGCAAGAGCATTCAGTAAGTAAATATTTGGTAGTGTTATGAGGTCTAAAATCTATAGCATACAATTAATATGAATAGAAATTAATAACGATATAATAACAATAATGAAATAAAGCTGTAATATTATAATTAATAAGCATGAATTGCAAGCAAAATCTAGCAGATCAAGGAGCATACAGTTAGTTGATCAATACTTTGGTAAGTAAATTAATAAGTCAAAGTATGCTGTTAGTTTGAACAGTATGTTTGATGGCGGAAGGAAAATCAGTAATGACGAAAAAACAACAGTTAAGTGTTTGTTTGATGTCTCTTTAAATTTTGTCAAGATCCGATTGAGATCGAATGAGATGATGATAATGATAAATAATATAAAATAAAATTGTTTCCATTTTAACATCTACTATAACAACATGTAATTATGAATCATTTCATAGGTCTAGTTTTAATTATTTTTGTTTAAGTAATTTAGTCAATGTGTATTTACCTATTGCCCATGTGTAGTCCACAATGGGGCTTTCTGGGTCGAAAAAGTGCCATATAGCGTGTATCGATGACCAGTCGTGTATAAACTGAGTTTGAAAATGTATTGCACCATCTGCAGTCACTGTTGCCGAGTTCTTGTTATCATCATTGTACGAATACGATGAAATCTAAACAAAATGGATAGACCTATGTCAATAGCTCATTGGATACGAAGAACATATGTTCAATAGAAACGGCGTTTGTTGCAATTGAATTTTCGACATTAATAACCATAATCATATATATCATTATCAAAATTATGACTGTCAAATTGATACCGCATGCTAATCAAAGCTATTTAAACCTTTTAACCTTTGTTGTTGGATATAATGTTGTACTGTATGTTCTTTTTGGTCCGCGTGAAGCGCTGACCCAGAGCCTCACTGCATGCTGTTCTTGTTCTTGTTTTTGTTCTTGTTACTAAAACTTTAAAAACGTCCAACGTCGCCAGTTTTGAACGGACGTGCATGCAATTTTGTACACATAAACTAAGGTGATTTCCAACAAACGTTCATCGCTCTTTTTTAAGTTTGACCCCAGGGTCCCCCTACACCTACAAAACAAAACATGGGTTTCAAACTTTAGAAGCGTCCAGCGTCGCCAGTTTTCACCGGACATGCATTAAATTTTGTACACATAAACTAGAGATGATTTACAACAAACGTGCATCGCCCTTTTTTTTTAAGTTGGACCCCAGGGTTCCCCCTACACCTACAAAAACAAAACAGGGGTTTCGAACTTTAAAAGCGTCCAGCCTCGCCAGTTGTTAACGGAGGTACATGAAATTGTATACATATAAACTAGAGAAGATTTCCAAAAAACGCTCATCGCCCTTTTTTTAAGTTGGACCCAAGGGTCCCCCTACACCTACAAAACAAAACATTGGTTTCAAATTTTAAAAGCGTCCAACGTCATCAGTTTTCACCTGACGTGCATGAAATTTTGTAAACATAAACTAAAGGGGGTTTCCAACAAACGTTCATCGCCCTTTTTTAAGTTTGACCCCAGGGTTCCCCCTACACCTAAAAAAAAACAGGGGTTTCAGCAAGGACTGTACATTACTGCCATTTACCACTACCGTAATAGTGCACGCTGCATGAATGGTGCGGTCGGTTAAGGATGTGTTCTAAAGAACTTAAGGTCGCGAGTTCAAATCGCGTATTTATTTATTTTTTTTTATTTTGTCAAACAGTTCTCATCCATGTTCATTAAAACAGAAAATCAACACCGAGGTGCGATTCGAACTCGCGACCTTCGGTTAAGAATGTGTTCTAAAGAACTTAGGGTCGTGATTTCGAAACGTGTCTTGGAATTCATTTTTTTTTTTCTATTTTAAGAAATTTTATTTTATTTTTTTTTCAATTTTAAGTAATTTTGTACAAATGATTTAATTGCCATTACCACTCTAACAGGGCACGTCGCATGAATGGTGCGGTTGGTATTTTTTTCCCCAATTTATTTATTTTAATTTTGTACAAATGATCATTCTAAATAAGGTTTTTATTTGTACAAACAAACATTCTAATTATTTTAACATTTCTATCTTATTAGCTCTTCCAAAAAAATCCAATATAATTACTTGCACCTGTACCGTATTTAAGCATGGAGGAACACACGGACCTGGTGAGCGGTCGTTCTTGTTATTTCAGCACTGGTTATATAATGTAGGTATTCATACTGTCTAATGTTTCAACACATTCCCCCCAAATATGTAGTAAAAATTAAAATACTGGTCGTTACTCTAGGAAGGAAAATAAAATGAAATATTATTTATGGAAATTTGGAATGAAGCTGTAGCTTGGTGATAACCATGATTATACTGCCCTGCTCTGAGAAAAGGCATTAAGTACATTTTTTTCAAAATTGATTATTATTATTATTATTATTATTATTATTATTATTATTATTATTATTATTATTATTATTATTATTATTATTATTATCACTGTTATTGTTACTATCATCATTATTATTACTCTTTCAGGCAACCAAGTGGTAAACCAAAAATGGACAAACACAATTTTCGCCACCGAGATTGTGCTCCACTTCGAGGAAGGGACATTGAGTAATGCAATTGTGAAAGAAAAAGTGTAAAACTATTTAAAAAATTGTAAAAGTCGGAGCATTGTAGTAAAACTTTTAAAATGTTTTGCACTCATTTGTATAACCTATGTTGTATTGTATCATTATCATTGTAAAGATAATAGTTGCAATGTATATTATAACTTAATAAATATAAATTAATTAATCTTATATTTAAAATTAGCACACCATTTTTATATATATTTTTCTACATGTTATTGTTAATGAACAAGTTATTATCAATAAAATTATAATGCTTTGTCTATTTTATTATTAGTCGATCGATTTAATTTTTATGATAGGCCTATTATCATTATCAATCGAAAATGGTAATGATTATGATGATGATGGTGTGGATGATGATAATTAAGAGGATGAAGAGATTTAAAAATATGATGGCATGCTAGTTACCGAACCATAAATAAAATACGTTTAAAATAATTTCACTCTATCCTACCTCACCCCCCCCCCCCCCCACAACACCCGCCCCCCC